AATTTATTCTTTTTCACATGATTATTCTAATATTTATAACTTTGATAAAGTAAGGTCATTGTTTAATTTTCCATAAATAATCACTCCTTAAAATTTATAATCAGTAGTTTAGTTGAACTAAAATATTCAGTGAGTAATTACTTTTCTATTCCTAATGAAGTATCTTGATATCACTGTCTACTCCAATATAGTGTTGGGTGACATAAGAGCATATTGTAGAAGTACTACAAGTGGATATGTCAGAACATAATGTTATTTCATGAGGTTATTGATTGAAGGCCAGAGTCATATCGGTAAAAGAAAACTTCCCGGTGGTTACCCATTCAATACTTCAGATCAATGGTTGGAGCTGTTGGGTGATATAGCCCTAAACCAATCACAGTGGAGCAGTCGACGTCATTCTCCATACCCTTTTTAAATATTAAGTAGGTCATCATTCCTAAACTTTTTTATCGAAGCCATTTGTTCTGCTTGTAATTTGTTTCTGATGTTTAACTTTCTGTTGCTCTCGATAATACTGTTTCCTCCTTTACTTCCTTAGGTGTTAATTCACTGTCTGTCGCTGTGTTCGTGTGAGGTATAGTATTTCGAACAGACATATATTGAGCTCTTCTCCTGTATCAATGATTATTGACTTGTTAACAAAGTACTGAATTCAAATCAAAGAATGTAGAGCAACTGACATGAAAGCATTGAATATAAATCGAGAAATAACTAGTGAAGAACTTTCCTAATTAGTCACAATGAAAAGTATTCGTTTTCTCTAATCAGTTGGAACTATTCAATATTAAGGCTGAGAATATTAGTTCAAAATGAACAAGAAAATTTAATTAATGCTAGAAAATTAAACTTTGATCAGACTAAAAAAATACATCAAAGATATTATTACATTAATACTAACATATGTACATCATGTGGTAGAAGACAAAGGTAATAACTAGCTAGAAAACACTTTTTAAACAATTCTCATATATTTAGTTCATAACATTGGACACTAGAAAAAGACAAGTTTAATTATCAGGGCGTATTAAGTTACTAAGGTAACAGAATAATATAAAAATTCAAAAGAAATTATTTTGAAAAATTGAATTTTTGTTTTACTCTTTAAAATAAGTAAATTTAAACACAATTGCAAACAATTAAACTATACACATATTTGCATTTGAAAATGTAACGTGTAACACGATAATGAATACAAAGTTGAATATCATTAATTTACTCCATGTCAATCTTCAATTCTGGTCAGTTGAATAATTAAAAAAAAGAAAACAATTTTTTCCTCGTTTTGATAATTATTCAGTTTCCTATTATTTCGAAAGTAGTAGTTGAAATTAACCCAGTTGGATATTATGCATATTCGTGTTAAATTCATTTTTGTTTAAATATTTGTATAGGTATTTAAAATATAAAAGAAGTAATGGAAATGTTTACATTTAGTGCATATGATCTACAATTCATACTTATAACTGATTCATGGAAGGTATTGAAATTGTAAAAATCATGCAGTTATTAATAGATTTGCAAATCTTTTATCAATTGTCCTTTAAATCTTTCACGATTATTCCAGTTCTCAATTCTTTTATGTTTGACTTTCTGTTGTCTTCAATTCTATCTTATTAACCTTCTTTTGACAGGCATTCCATTTGTGATTGATGTTATATGCTACTTATGTCTGTCGATATAAGTGGCATACACTGCATATATATATCTTGGAGATTTGTAATATTTGTTTACTTTAATATCCAGGAAATTACAGACCAAAAATAATGATCCAAAAAATAAACAAACGTTTGAAGATCGCTGAAGTTATTATCAATCTTTTGATCAGTCATATACTATTTTGAATTATTAAATAACATTGAATTGTATACATGTTTAGGAATCAACAAATTAGAAAATTTTCTTATGGTTATAAAGATAAGTAAAATTTCAACAGCTGAGATCATGAGTCAATTGAAGCTAGACCACCATGGGAAATCTGGAAGCACTGGACGACCGTTTCGTCCTATTGTGGGACTCCTCAGCAGTGCGCATCCACGACCCCGCCTCTTGGGATTCGAACCCGGGACCTATCAGTCTCGTGCCAGTAGTTTAACTAACTAGACCACTGAGCCGGCATCCAAATCTTTACATTTCATTCAAAATTAGTCCTTAAAAATGATTATAGAACAATATAAACAATGCTAGGTGTTTGTAGGTAATCGACAAGAAAGCCTAAACCTACGTTTCATGTTAGTCGGCATTTATTAGGAAGGCTTTCTACTTCTTGATTTTTAATAATTCTCTATTGTATATCAATCCATGATAAAAACTAATCACAGATTAAACAATCTTCTCAGGTTACCTATATTAAAATGTTATTTGAGATACTTATCACTTCCTTTATGTGTTAACTAATAATTGGGAGAAATGGTTAAAATACATTGAAAAATATCGATGTAAAAATACATAAATAAACTTAAATATTACTTATGGATAATATACAGTCATCTTCATTCATGTGTTTTTTGCATTTCTACGATAATTAAACATTGATACAGTAAAATAAACAGATACTGTCTCAATTATTCTACTTTTATAATTTTTATCCAACTTTTGTTTGCTTAATTCATAGAAAACTTGAAAAAAAATCGTTTATTAACGTTGATTATGATTGCTGGTATTCAATGATACATTCGATTTGAACTCGTAATCAAGGTCATGAGAAATTATTTGTACTACTTAATTCATACTTCAACTTATCTGACTACACTCTACTAAGACAAAAAGAAATAATAACACTGTAATAATAATCTTATATACGAACATCTAGATGGTTTTCGTCCCCAACATAATTCTACGATTGATTTCAGTGAATAGAATTGTCTTCTGTCGAATCGAAGGTGCTGAAGCTTATTCTAATCTGAGCAGTGATATTATTTGTTCATATTGTATTAGTTTTCGCTAACTTTCACAGTCCACCAAACTTTTAATGGTAAAACTAAACCCCTCGAGACGCATATATATACATCATTGTATTGCTTTCCTACTCTTCAGGTAAATCAATACACGAAATGAAGTAAAACGATAGAGTAAACACTAACACATTCGTTTATTGGAAAAAAAATACAAAAGGAAGGAAATATGGGTATTGTAAGGAGTAGAAAAAAAGGCATACTTCAAGAAGAATACATCGACTATACATCACAGTTGTAATTCAATTTATAAGAAACGGAAAATAGTTGTGAGAAGTTTACAAGAAAAAGGGATAGTAACATAATATAATTAACAGAAAAAAACAAGCGCACTTATTGTCATGGTGACTAAAGTGCATTCAAGTGAATTAAAACAGTATATGAATACATCTGTGTCCAGGGAATAATCGTGTACAATTAACAGTATAAAAATATGGGAAACTTTGATTAAAATATTCAATCAATTAGTAATTAATCGCAGTGATTGGAAGCCAACACCTATTTTATCTTATATTCATAAACAAGGCTTTAAAAACCAAACTATCACCAGTTTTCATACTGTAATAACTCAGGATTGTATTGTTCTTCAAGAGTTGTTAAAGCACAGAAGATTGTGGCACGAATATAAATAGATTTATGGAAACTATAATTTACGACTTCAATTAATTCTTTGATGTATATATTCTAAAAATGAGCAATGAAATAAAACCCTCTGACTTTTGTTTATACATATTAACTGGAAATCTACTTATACAGATTATTAAGGATACTGAATACATCCATGCCAAACTCAGTTTATTGAAATTGTTGAGATTATAGCTAAAGAGTGCATAATCAGTTGAAAGTAACGCTTAGCTTTATTCTTAATTTATATATGAGTTGGTCTGTCTTAGTAATTCGATTAAAAATAGCAGATCGTTTGTAAATCAACGCTTTTTAAAGCTTTCTAGTTTTCAGCGCTTTCACAACTAATATTTTTCCTTGATGAATGTAAATAGTGTATCAATTAAACTTCTGCAACATTAAAATTCCATGCCTAATAGTGATTTCTTTAGGAGTGCATGTCACAACAACCTATGATCATTAGATCCAAGTTGGGTACGAAGACAAATGTTCATCAGTGGATCGAATGTCGATCTTTACATATAACATCTGCAGAATTTCAGTAATCTATTGATTTCAATAAAGTGGCCAAATTCCAGTTGAATGTATGCCATGAATCCACACTGTTGAGAAGTCTGAAACAGCTTATCAGTCCTTTTATTATTTTTCAACCGATCTTGATGAAAACAATCTTAGAATCAAATATTATTCATTGATATAATTTCCCAAAAATACTATAATATTCACATATAGATGTATGTTGAATAATAATCAGTGATAATATGCCACGAATTGTTTTATAATTTTGTTATTAATACGTTCATCTGTCTCACTTTGAGTTTCAGAAAAACATTTCTTTCTCATTCATTGTTAAAATAATGTATTATTTCATGTCATAAATATGGTCAAAGAGATGGTAGTGAAACACAATGAACTAATGGTGACAGTAATAATAATAATAAAACAAAAATAATAAAGCATTGTTGTGCAATGCGTAATCTCATTTCATTAGGAATTAGTGATTAAAGCATTCGGGTTTCATACACCCTACAACAGACAGAATTCCATGTCGTCCTATATGATTTTTGTCTACCTGTTTCATTGGGAAAACATGGACTTCTAGTGTAAGTCACATTGAGAGCACTTAGAGGTAGCCACTTTAAATTGTTAAGTAACTAAGCTTCAAATGTAACACTATTGAACATCAGTTAATCCATTGTGTGGAATTGTGTACAGAAAACATCGAAAGTAGGAAGTGTTGGGGTGATCCAGAAAACTTCTCGCAAAAGACAAGAAAGGCTCAGGAAACACTAAGAAGCATTTTATCCAATCAGCATTCACTAGGAGTTTAGCCAGAAACATCACGAAAGTGAAAAGTCACATATGGGGTTTCTGATTGGCTGATTGTAATGCTGCTTCTATGTTTAGTAGCATTTCAGAATTTTCGGGAAACCCAAACACTTCTAAAATACTATAAAAACCCTATACTTTCTGTACTAAAACGAACCTCTGGAGTAGAGTGCTTCTCGCATATTTTGCGCCTTTTCTCTCGTGCTCAGGTCGCTGTGTAGTTCTAGCTTTAGGGTTACGAGAATAGCTTAGGAAGCGAATACAGCGTTCAATTAGCAAGAGTTATCAGAAAGGTTGACAGAATCTGATAGATAGTACTAAAGAACGTAAATTTATGGGATATTAGTTCATTGTGTTATAACTTGCAAAAACATTGAAAAAAAAATCATTTATCCGAGAAAAGACAAACGACATTAGTTGAGGAAAAGGAGAATAGGAGTGAGCTACTGAGGATTTAAAACGAAGAATGTATTTGCACGATTGTGATAGGAATTTAAACGTAACATAAAAAATCCGCGACTACTGGTTCCTATCAACTCGGGTAGTTTACTCTGGAAGTATTTTGCACTACATAACAGCAACAGTAAGAGAAGTTAGAAACTAGTGTTGCGTTGAAAATTTGTCACTCCCAGATTTGTGCGTCTATCTTCTCTTCTAATCAATAACACATGCCGATATAAACGATGTCTTGACAATTAAAGCATAACCTTCATAGGTACTATTTCTGGGTATATTCATAAAATTTATAGTTATTTGAATCCAATACCGCAAACGAGATGTGTACTTGGAGTTCCTGTCTGAACATGATTTATTTCATGAATAGGTATGATATTAAAGAACTATGGAACACAAAATAGAGGTTTTTAGGGTTAAAGAATATACTTTATAGTACTTTGCTTATCATTGTAATAATCATGTTTAGTTGTTCACTGGAACGCAAGCTAAGTTACAGAATACTACATTCGCACCAGTATTCTGGTTACCAGTGGCTTAAATGAGATTAATTAACTTAACGATCGTTTGATGCATTTGTTGCTCCTATCAAATTTCCACCTCTACATAAACTTCCAAAGGATTCTTGAAGAAAAACATTCAACCATTACTATAAAAGCAATTTTTTAAATGAGTCAACGGTCTTCAAAATAGGAAAAGTTTATAGAAACTGCTGAACATTGCTGAACGTCACGTACGACTTTCCTGGTTATCTTCTTATATTCTACAAATACCCCACTATAAGCAATAATACTTCTCGTATTTACAATCTCTCATTTATTTAATTGTGTACAAGATGTATGATGAAATATCAGTAAATTTTTTATGGCATTACGGTAATTGTGGATGAAAATTCAGATGTATTCCATAATTGTTTTTTAGAAAATACATTATTATTAGTAGTGTTACAATTGTAATACTTCTAATTAGATGCTATGTTATTTATCATTTTTAGTTAGACATCACACGGTATTCGGTTTCGAAGACTGTGGTATTTGAATTAAAGGATAAGTGTTAAGTACATGATTACGTACTCGATTCATATATTTGAATATATTGCATTCGTGTGTCTATGATCTTTTCCAGTCCTCATGTATTGACCCAGATCGCATTTTAGACAGATCTGCCAGTTGTTTCGCCAAACACATAAAATACACGCATTTCTTTCATAAACTCGATAGAATGAAATGAATTTAGGAAATAAAGAGACATTTAAATAATCAACAAATTCCAAAGTAATTAGAATACCATAACACAAATGGCTATTAATGAGTCGATAATCTGGGAACAACTTTTGAGCATGTTACTGAAACGCCTACAACTAAAGAAAAAAATGTCTCCAACCAAATACTTACTAATCTTAAAACAATAAAAAAAACTAAATTCTGAGTGATAGAAGTTTATTTATTTATTTTACAGAGTCAACAGAAAAACTAATCACAACTATAAAGATCATCGAATACCTGAGAATTCTCTTAACCATTTTAAACGATGACCGCGACGTTTAATTGCATATGGAATTAAAGGCTTTCTTAATGAAATGCCTAAAGCTCCAGGAGTCCATGCTGTTAATAAGATATCAGCACAAAACAATTCATCATTATTATTATTATCGTTATCATCATCAACAACACTGTTTTCAGTAGATATTTCTTCTGAATCTTTCTCATCTAGTAATTTCTGATTGGTCTTTGATAAACCAGCTACACTGATCCATCCTAGGATTATAAAAAAAACAACATAGCAAGTCATTTGGAAACTGAAATTAAATCAATAATAAATATGCCATTTGTGATATTTCAATGAGTAGAAAAATTGTATTTCTGACGTTTCGTTACTTAATGTGAGCCATTGCTTCAAAGTAAATAAATAACCGAAATAAAATTAACACAAGTTCAAATAGTACAAAGGAAACTACCAAGTCCAACTTCGGCATTGATAACTATAAAATGAAATTAGAACACTTACATCAAGCACTCATAACACAAAATACCACATCATATTTCAGTTATGATATTGTTACTGAACAAATGAAACCAGGTACAGATGTATTTTTGGAAACCTAACGAAAAACAATCATAAACAAAGCAATAATAATATATTAAGTGTCATGCCTACAACTCGTCGGTAAGAGTTTTACTTTATATTTGTGAAACCTGATTTCTTCCAGTTGAGGACGTTCAGAAACTCTCCATGTTCGATTATTACTACTAAACGATTGCTGATATTTAATGGCGATACTATGTTATTAGTGTTGGGATTTGACAATGTGTTCAGGTGCAATGATGATAATTCAACCGGCATTACCGTCATGAAACACCAACTTGAATGACTTGGTCATATTCTGAGAATGTTATACCGGAGTCTTTTACTTATTGCGTTCTTAACAGACACTGGGGCGAGATGGAGAAAGTTGAGGTAGTATGAAAGAAAGCTGTTTACGATTAGGATAAATTGGTCAATTATGGCTCACTTGCAGAGATCGAAGAGTTGATGCAACGTAATGGCTATCAGACATAGCTCAGAGCAGAAGCTAATGGAGGTCTTGATGTAGTTTCCTCCTACATTTTTCATGAAAGCGAGAACTCTACTAACTGAAAAAAGTCTCCCTTGATTATATCTTTAACCGAACTGTATTTCGAATAACATACTATTCTTGTCCACTTATTTTTATCGATTTACTTATTTTCAACTACATTCATCCCCCCCTTTTTTTTCCTCTCCTTAACCTTTCTACAATTTCATCCCTATGTTTTTATTCTATTCATCTGAATTCATTTGTAACCCAAAAATAAAGAAAAACTGTTCCTTTATTTGCGATTTCATGGATGTGTTACTGATGAAGAGTAAGTAAGAAACAAATAAAACGTAACAAATGAGTGAACTTCTTAACGAATCGATCACAGTAACAACATTCCATGTTAACAATATTTCTGTTGAAATGAGGATTATACAATGATCTAAACGATCACTGGTAACCAGATGTTCATATGTAAGTCAATTGATAATATTGTTTTAATGAATAAATAGTAGATCAGAAAATACAAATACACAATTTGTTTAACACAAATATTTGTATGAATACGTGATTCAGGTTAAGACAAAAAAGTGATTTTTATTTATTTTAACATCAGTAACCAATGTTATCTTCCCTATGAAGATTGTTTTCATTGGTTTAAATGTGTCTAACGAAGAAATAAATGAATGAACCGGTGGAATAGAGTATAAGATCATTTTAAAATTAAAAAGCCACGGGAAAACAAGGAGCAAATGCCTCTGAGAGAATTGTAAACGATTTTAAGTGATGTTACTCAAGGCCATCAACTATTAGTTAAGATAGCCGTATGGGTCTGAACTGAATAGTCCGCATCCATAAATATGGCTCAGACCAACGGCTAATAAATTTATGAACTAATTTCATGTTTTAGTTTGATAACACCTAGCTTTCCTTCAACCCACTCTTCTATCAACAAACATCGTAAGTTGAGGTAGATGATGATTCGGCATAAGTTATATACGTCCCAACTACTACAGTGGATGGAGATTCACCACCTCATCAACCTATTAACCATCTTAATTCAGTACACTAAATATAGTTTTAGCATTACTTACTTGGTGGTCCTGGCATAGGTGAATGATCCTTTGAAAACATCGATAATCATTTACTGGTCATTTGCAAATATCCTCTATTTTTAAAGGGTATCTTTCACAACGATAAAGCAGAACGGAACAAACTGGATTCAAAACACGTGTAAGTAATGGGACATTATGAATAGGCTTTCTTAGGTCATCTTTCTTAACTAAACTCACTTTATATTAATGCGCGTAGATTTGTTGGATAACAACTGTCTAGACAAAGAACAATCATCTGCATATCACCTATCCACATGATAAACAAGTAATAATTCTGGATAATTTGTCTCACCAAATTATCACTGACGTAATTTTAAAAATTAGTTAGATTTTATTATTTTACTTTATGATTTCGCGCTTCCGAAATATCAATGGAAAACAGTGGAACTATATAAAGATTTACTTCAATAACTAATTTTATCCAAAAACAGTTGAATCAACAGATATCCATTACCATTTATTGACTTTCACAAGACATCGAGATTTTGAATTTAAGACTACATGTAGACTATATTTTGCTTGAACAGTTAGTTAGCATAGTTAATTATTACACTTCCCAAAAGAAGTATAAGGACTAAAAACGAGTCAGTCTAATCTAGACCATCATTGAAAACCTGGGAGTACTGAACGGCCCTTTAGTCCTGGTACGGGACTCCTCATTAATGCACATTCACGACTCCGCGTCAAAGGGACTCGAATCCAGGACCTTCGGGCTTGTGTGCAACCGCCTAACCTCTGGACCACTGAGCCGGCATCCAACGGTGTCAATGTCTAGCTTCAATCGATCTATGAGAAGTCATGACCAGTGGAGTCAAATCCGTGTCCAGTGGACACAGTGAGTAGTTGAATAGGATGGTATTGATGACTTTAATGATCAGTTGATTAAAATATTTGAGTTCTACAGGAAATCACTTCTGTTCCAAATTGTTTCCGTTGAGTGTATCTAACTGTGTGACAAGGATTCAAGAAAAAAGGGTAAGCATCTGGTCCCTTGATATTTTAGACATGCGTTTACGATCACTCCCAACAAGCAAAATACGTTATTCCAGTAACTTTCATTTCTCGTCTTCAAACCCCCATCACACAATAGTTGTAAATAAAATATACATGGTCGAAATCGATTAAAGAGACATTAACACCATTGGATGCCAGCTCAGCGGTCCAGAGGTTAAGCGTTCGCACGCAAGACCGAAGGTCCTGGGTTCGAGTTCGCTTGATGTGGGATTTTGGGCATGCACTAATGAGGAGTTCTATACCGGGACGAAACGGCTATCCAGTGCTTCCAAGTTTTAAGTGGTGGAGTAGCGCAGATCGACTCATGAATTCAACTATTAAAATTACTACAATCTCCACAAATCCTCATTCCGTTATTTAAAAATAAATAGATTAAATGCCTATATAATTAACGTGTAATGTAATTTAAATTCATGAGAATAAGAACTAACTCACCTGCTCCGGATAAAACAACATCTATGTTGGACTGATCTAAATTAGGTACAGTTTCAATAGGATCAAGATTTTTTGATTGCATTGGTGGTAGTAAACCACAAGGTCCAGCTGTATTATTATAATTATTATCAGTATTTACAGAATTATTTTTAATTTTTGGCATAAGAAATTTGAAAAATCGACTTTTATACTCATCAACTTCTTTTGTAGATACAATATGAATTGGAAGATGAGAAAAAGTGGTAAAATAAACAGAACTTGGAGCCTTAAAAAAAATAAACAAAATAAGCAAAAAGAAATTAAAATGTGATACAAATTGTGACAATCACATTTCATCGTTTGTTAGTGAAAAAAAAAGGAAAACGGGAAAATTGTCATTATTTCTTACTGCTTAAGCATATTTTAATCATTGATACCATGACGAAGAAGTTGAAACGAATTATATGAGTTGCATATTCAATATTAGAAGTATTTACCAAGATAATTAATGTTGCTTATAGTGATCACTTTAGAGATTTGGAATTTTTTCTATATGATGTCTAGTAGAACAAATTGAATCATTCAAACTTAGGAAGTGAGTTAAAAGTACTTCTCTTAACATTAATAATGTTTAGTGAATTGTGTATTAATTAAATGATATTGAATGTCAAATATCATACTTAGAAATGATAACAGAATACAAGAACTTACTTTCAAAACATCTAAACGACCAAGTGATCCCATTAAAAGTGTCAAACCTGGCCGCATGACGAATGTACGAGGAATTAAAACTTTATTATTTACACCATTCGGTAAGTGGAAAATACCAGTTCCCTCTGATTTGTAATTAGTCATAGAATGTAATAATTTTGATGAGAGATAGTTAAGAATCTAGGGAAAATGTAACATACATAGCAAGAAAATATCAACAACATGCGTAAATCAAAATAGTATCAAGTTATGTGATTAGGCGTATATTTCGGGCAAGTTATTTAGAAAAGAATAAACATCACCAAAGGTCCAACGATAGGTAAAATGAAATTTCGAATAATTGGCTACTTTGAAAGTCGAGTTCCAAAATCAAAATCAGTTGAATAAACGCCATATTGATTTGTTCTCAAGTTAGGTGCCTTTAGAGTGATAGTTAATTGGTTAAATAAAGCACTTGATTTCGGGCTAATAATTAGGTCTTGTATTCAAATCTTGTTTTATTTATTTATTTGAATACATAAATATTGGTACAAAGGGGCACCGAATACATATGCGCCAAACAAGTCACTTGGCTTGTGTGTGGGCTGTGATACTGCTCGGGTTCCCAGACCGAAACAGGTGGTTTCCCTAGGGGGCCACATACGAAGCCTTCGACCTAGAGGTCTGACCCACGAGGCGATCCCATGGTGGCCGGTGACCAACAATAGGTTCATACGCCATGTGCACTATTGGTTTCGAATCAGGGTTTTCCAACTTCCTTAGGTTGGTCCTCCAAATGAAGCATAAGTTTATTAAACCAGTATAAGCAGAAATCAGTTTATCAGCTTATAAACATATTAATTATAATAGACATAACAAAATGAAGTTTACCAAGAACTTTATGTATTTATTGGCTTACAATTAACTCTTAGAGATTTACATTAAAAGGAGAGAATATTACTATAATATATTCATTTAGAATTATCTTTGTCCAAGACAAACATGACCTGTTACATAAAAATTTCTTTTTATTTGTGTGTAAAGTTATACAGACGTTTAGTAGTACAATAAGACGACTAGTGAAATAAAGTACTATTATGGCTGTTAGTATAGTTCAACACAAGAAAGTTATAAAAAAGATCTTTAAAACACACAATACCTAATTTTGCGTGAAAATAGCACCATAAAATCAAACAATATGTCAGGCAATTTACAGTGGAAGCCCTAATGCACACTCTAACCTTCTAGGGATTCATCGGTTGAATGTATCTACACCTTAATGTTGATCATTAACCCACTGCTAATAATTTTAAACTGTAACTCACTATCTATTAAACTATTGAATCCAGACAGACAATAGCTTGTTTAGTCGGTAAAATAACCCACATAGAACGAAATTCTTCCCATTCCAAATCTTGCTGTTAGTCACTTCCCGAAAACATACTTGTAACTGCGTTCAATATCAGGGAATCAGTATACCAACTGTGACTGATCGAATTCAGTGAAACGAGAAGCATGGGGTAAATAGTGGAACAAGATTTATTTCCCTTTAGACTTTGTGAGAAAAAATTACTCCAAAAGAAAATAACTCATAACTGAGCAGTTTTAATATATTTTTTTCTTTAAATTACTTCTGCGCGTACTAAAGATTACTATCAAATTAAGAGTCTTTTAATTAACACAAGAGCAAATGTTTGCAAACTATAGAGCTCAAGTCAAAGATATATTAATGGTGAACTAAGAGTTTCAGGTAATTAAATTTTTGGTGCAAAATAATTTTCCTTAATTGTTGTGAACTAATAATTTTACTAATTATCAATGGTACATTTTATAATTAACTTAAAATTTCGGAAATTTGCTTATCTATTTTTTTCCTTTATAACTCAATTACAAGTCAAAATGTGCTTGTGTACGTTAGGTAAATGATAAAGAGAATAAACTGGGTTACTTATTTGAAAGAACGAGACGAAAAAAACAAACAACAACGCTTGACACATCCACAAGGACATAACTAAATTGTCTGATAGAAATTTGTTTTCAGGTCATATAAACAAGTACGTGATATGATAAGAGGTGATTAGTTAAATATTAATTACATTGATATGATATATAAAACTTTCATTTCGTCATCATACTTAACAAGTGTCCGACTTAGCAAAATAGTACATAAGTATGAAATATTACTTGGTTTGAAATTCAAAGGATACTGAAAGAATGAATATTCCTGTGTCACTGCGACTGATTTTGAACTGCATCACTTAAATTCTCCAACTATGTGTTTGTCTTGTTAACCCCTCTAGCTAGTTAATACTATCAGTCAAAAACTGTATGCACTGATTTCACATCTTGGTTTTGCTTTACATAGTCATTTCCCAACTGTTATAATTTTCTCTTTTTACGACCCAACTATTCCTATTGCTTAGTATTCTTGGACACCAATTCACTCGACAAGTCCCAAAATCAGAACACGGATTAACAGGAAAGAAATTACATCCCAAATAACAAGGGTAGATGGAAATAAGAAGCACAATAAGAGAAACGTTAGTATATTTATAGACTAGCACTGATTGAATAAGAAATAGCCAATCAGCGTACAGCAATACAATCGCGCACGAAGCATGCTTTAATCCAATCTATGTTTCACTAACACCAACCAATCCCTGTGCTGGTCAGCATAGGGTAAAAAGAGATTATAGTAACGGTGACAATATACCATAGGGTTTGTTCGGTAGTAATGTTAACAATGATCGTGTGATTTTGAAGGCACTTTTCAATCAATATAGAGAGAGTCTATATAAATCGAAACTCCCCTCAGAGAAGTATTTTAACCTGTAAGAGTACAGCGGTATTGGAAGACTTGCTAGATTTTCAAGGTCTATTATTAGTTTTCTAATTATATATTTAAGAGAAATACCATCGCAGAATCTCACTTATTTGAGTGCGAATGCTTCTTTTTGCAAATAAATTTAGATGGAATTTCACATCGTCCACAAAATCTTGAATGAATAAATTCTCTACAGTAAGTAAGATGGAAATATCAGATGCCAATATTTGGGTGGAAATAGTGATAGATTTTAGCAATACCAAGCTGCCAGCTCGTTGTAGTTCGGTGAACTCACTTATAAAGTAGTTTCCTGGAGAGTTGGATCGTCAAAAGTATGTATTTCTTGTGCTTTTTTTTCTTACATTGTCGTTTCTCATGTATGACAGTAAAAAAAGGTTTTTTCTTATCAATTATTCAAAGGCTTTTCATAGAATATAACTGTTATGTTTCGTTATTGCTTGAATGCGATTACTGATGCGTCTTACTCGAACGAACGAAGGATCAATGATTCAGCGACTCGATACACTATTCTGGTCCGTTGTCCCCAACTATGCTAACTCGATCAAAAAGTCTGGGTAAGGTGTAGAAAGTGTATTCTACAGACAAACAGCAGATAACAAGTCAGGCAGGCAGATCAGATCAAGCATACAAGTCAAGCGTATTTATACAAATATTTACAATCGATATTGTCATGGAAGATTTTTGAACATTAATCAACAATTGACTGCTATTTGAACATTTAATCGATAGTTCATCAATTGACCTATCTGCACATTTAATCGATAAGTAAATTACAAAATTTGAGTTTTGGGGATCTATCGTCCCCAACAATAACGTAAGAATCATCTACTTTTGCGCAAAACTTCAAAAGTTGTTTTCTAAGTTCAGATTGGGTCAATCCTATAGTAAATCTACACATTTTGATATGTATATCTAATCATCTAGTGACTAATATTTAAACTTATTATATCAAATCAAAATGTTTACAAGAATAAGAATTACCTGGTCTTTACAAAAAACACCTGGAGTATCATAACACCATGCACGATCATTGAAATATCTTGGATTCAATATATTTGTTAGTAATCGAGTACTTTGATCTCCATCCCAAGAAGCTTTGTCAATGAAAATATCTCCAGGAAATAACTCAGAAGCCAACTGTTCTAATCCGAACTCACTACCAACACAAATCCCAGATTTGTTGGAATTTGAATTTTCATTAGGTTTCCATGTGTATGTTGGCATAGTAGACAAATCCGGCAGCGTTTCACGAGCCTTTTTTGCTGCATAATAGTTTGCCGACCGTTTGTCACAAATACCAGAAACAATTTCTTTTGCTAGAAAAAAAAATTTAAAAAGTACACGGTCAGCATTTTTGTGCATTGATTTCTGAATAAATTATCTTTTTAACGAACATTCAAACGGAACAATAAATGAGTCCAGAACGTTTATCTGTCTTATGGACTTCAAAGTGAAACGAGGTGGAGAATATAGCTCAGAGGCTTAGGCATAAGCCAATGGCTAACTGAAGGTTTATGTTCTGAGATTTGAACAATATATAGTTTATATGAAGACCAATGATAATACTCAACCGCCCAGACCGAAGTAGATGGAGTGTAGTTAGAACGTACAGCCTATTGGTTGAAAGCTGAATACTCTAAGTACTCAATCACCGTTTTACATTTAAAGGTTTGCTGTAAATTCACTAAACACTAATTTTATCATTACAAATATCAGTCAGCTTTTGACTAAATTTTAAAGCATTCCCCTAAAATAATACTAACTAATTAGATTTGAGAACAGAATATTTTTTACAAAAACAGCGTAACTTGTATTTTAAATTATGGTTAAGGTGAAAAATTATATTATTAAAAACCGAATAATAGGGAAAATATTATTAGCGGTAAACATCAACGATTGCTCTCGTGGTTAGTTTTTGCGTAAAAAAGACGGAAAGAAAACGAGTAAGTGATATTTTTTAGGAATTAAACATCCTCGATACATATAATATTGCAATTATATTAGAATATATAGTCTATTTGTCTATAAACAAACTTACGTTTCAAATATCGGAAACCATGTGATGAACTGCATTCTCTATTTTGTATAGTCTTTTGATATGATTGTTCATAACGTGATTGTATACGCTGACCACGTTTAGCTGAATTCATTAAGGTTAATGGAAAACTTAAGAGGCCCATTGTAGTACCTGAACAGTAGAATTATAGTGCAAGCATAGACTATTATAAGAAAGTTATGTACTGAATAATAGTTATCAATGAGGTATTTACTAACCCCCGATTGAAATAACGGATAAATAATCGATAATCAAGATAGAAATACAAATTTCATGTTAACACAGTGAAAATTGACCATGACAACACAAATTTCTGCTATTTCTTGACCGTGAGTATTTTATTTCCACTAATTATTTCTAAGTTGTTTTGAACTATGTTGACTGGAATTGGTATACCAGTCGTTAACTGTAAACATGACATGAATCAATAAAGCTGACATCTGAATTAATAATGATGACCTTTGTTGAGGATAACTGAAAGAAAGAGTAATGATGTATGCAGGCAATATGGACAATCGCAATAATTCCAATAATTTATGTAAAGAAGATCAATCATGACCACATAATGCAAATTAGGAGGACCAGATTAAGTCAAGGTTTGATTGTTTTATGTTGGTTCGGACCACAGTTCAATGACATTGGTTTGGAAGCATTTATAGAAATAAAAACATACTCAAACTCGAATACACAACATGTATATAGTTATTGGACTGAATTTTAATAAAAGCATGATTACTGTTCATAAATAATTGTTGTTCTCAATAAACTTGTTATTTAATTTATTGAACACATCACTGATAATATTCAAACTGACAGTAAAATATTTTGTTATCGGGAAGTTTTAGTTCAGGAAACAATTGCATCTAGTCATGGACAATTTAGATGATAAACATTCTGCCACAAGAAAAATTATGGGAGTTCTTCCCTGAATTATAAGACAGCTTTGAACTTTAAAATATTAGTATTTATCTCATGCTTATGCATAGACTAGTTTGTAATGGACTGAGGTGCACATAAACGGGAAAATAAATAAGATCTATGAGTCCACTAATTTGAATCCTACATAGTATTTTACAGGACTTTTTGGTTATGACAAAAGTGCTTATTTAACCCATTGAAGTACAATGAGATATTTTAATTCAAGTATTATGTCCTTAATCTATCTAGATTAAGGCCTTGACACGATAGGTTAACTGGTTCAACTTGGAGGCTAGAAATGTGTGAATTCGAATTGAGACTAACGGCCTTGGGGAGAGAGACGAAAACTATTTTACCACCTGATCATTTGACAAGCGAGAGAACAGGAGAGAAGATGAGCTAACTGGGAAAATACCAGATTTATTCGTGATAACTGATTCAGATTAGTGTAAAAAGATATGTGAATAAATACATGACTAACGCGACCACAACGCACAAACAACTAAAAAAAATACAGTTATGTTCAAACTGGGCATTAAGGTATAAAATAGTGTACAGGTTACGTTTAAATTAGAATATGTTTGGTTTATGCAATAACCTAAGTGTTAGTATTTTACAAACTTCGAGTTAAGTGAAGTTGCGTCCCCAAATATAGCTTTCGTTGTTTGTCATAGCTTTATCTCTCTGCTTACATCATCAGAGTTTTCTCAAAACGTCTAACTTTAACAAAAAATAGCTTCGCAATCATTTAATATGACGGTTAATAAGTACCATTTTAATTGCAAGGTCAACCCAAACAATCTTCATTAGTCACAAAATTTCACAACATATGGTGATTGATGAACATCAGAAGCCTGAGGTCCGTGTGATTATCGTAACCAGTAGTTATAGACTGGATGATACAACTCAAAATCTTACACAATGATCCAGGCACATTCACTCTTTGTCTTCCCTTAGATCCTGACTTTGTAGATTACTTGATAAAACTTTTTTTATTCCACTGATACATATTTTCCTCTCGAACCCTATTTTTGATGCCCAATCTTGTTTGTTACTACTAATACTGTGACTACCTCTACTAGTTTGGGATTTACCCTGAAAATTTCATGTCGCTGCGCCAACGGAGAGTTGATAACTTGGACCAGCGCACACATGTGCCAGGTTTTACGTTGTGATATGGATTCGTGAATAATTTGTTAAGGGTTTACATCACGATTTATCATTAGAAAACTACTAAAAACCAAAGAACACATAAAACGGCTATTTCGTTTTAGTTTACAACTTCTGTGCTATATTGCGAATCGGGTGGAGTCCAAAATAAGGTCCATAGGACTGTGACTCATTGGGTTTATTGTATTTTTTTGCTACAAGACCTACGTTTAATCTCATCTGGGGCCGTACATGTGCGCTGCTGAGTAGTTCAATATCACAACAAAACGAATGGCCTATAATTCCCAGTTTTTTATGGTTCCTTCTATATGGACCCCTGTTTGAAGAAGTCACATTCGAATAGTCATTTGGTCAAGAAACAAAGCAAGATCATTTTGATTAAGATGAAACCATTTGATATTCCTTAAAGTCCTTAACACTGAAGTGAAACTGTACTGGTCACGGTCAAATTTCTTTTACAATCGATTGCAATAGAAAATAATTCAAGGTAATTTATGTAGGCGTAATTCATTTTAGCCAACGTAAAATAAAGTTAATTCTATGCATATTTATTTAGTTAGTTGATAGGTAAATGAAATAAATCCCACACATATTTCTGCTTTGGCATCAAATTCCAATCACGAACGTTTTTTATAACTTTAAAATACTTTATCAAACCATAAATTTTTATTATAACTAATCTGATACCCAACGATTACTACAGTTGACAAGAATTTTTCACGAGTTAAATTAAAACATAATATTCTGTTCCCGTTGATGTTGATTTTTTATGAAGTTTTGCCTATAATCTACACAATTTACGAAAATGAAATCACATGATTGCAGGAGAACAGTAGTTATTTTAAGAAAATATAGTGTATTATAATCTCGTAACAATTTGTGTAAATCTGTTATGGAGTAGAATTTGACAAGCTAATAGGTTTTCGGATAGCTAGGTTGATGAATCGAATGTTAGTCGACATATGAAAGGTGATGATACGAAGTGGCCGTCTAGTGAAGACTAACTGCTTACGGGACCAGATTATTGACTCAAGGACCTCAAATGATTTGAAATCAAAGACAAAACCAATAACCAGAAGAATAAGTTGATCTTATAATAAAAGACAACTCTTGTGTATAGAAATAATAAGATCAGATGTTATAAACAATTGGATAAAAACGGCTTTGTATATCGCTCATTTTCCAATGTATAAGAGCCTGGTTGACATGCTCTCCCATCATGACAAAACGATAGATTGAGCCTACCTTATGTTGAATGTCTACATTTGTTAGTATAAGAGGTTGTGGAGATTGTCGACTAGTATCAAATCACGGACTGATCTCAGTTCAATAAAAATTAAAAACAAAGAAACTCTTAACAGCCGTTCCATCCCAGTATGAGACTTCTAAGCAGTGCGTATTCACAATCTCATTATCGAACCTAGGACCTTCGGACATCGCGAAGAAGGGTAAACATTCACATCATTAAGTTGGTATTTGGTTATTTCTAATCACACAACTTTATCACAATTTTTAAAGTTTCTGAAGCAATTTGAAAAGTTTAAATTCATCGGTTATGTCTAACAAAGATCTTAGTAATTTATTTGTATTGGCTGTTTGGATCTCCCGATTGATATTTAGGACTGAAATTGATCAGTCTCTTCTGGCATATGTGGATCCTGTGTGAACTGACTCGACGTAGTTATTGACTCACATGCATTATTAACAGAGTTGGATGGTGGCTAGCAGTGGAATCCAGAAAGTGCATATCGTCCTATTTGGGACTCGTCACCTGGATGTACCTGTATATCGGGGTTGATGGTCACTCCGGGACTGTGATGGGATATGAAGCAAGCGGTACTGGGTTTGAGTCTAGGAGTAAACATTAATTCTCGTATGCATGTACATTTAGCTGACAAGTCCCAAACAGGAAGACACGCGCGTTGTGGATTCCACAGCTCTCCGTTTACTGCCTGAGGTGGACAAATGTTTCACAACCGACACGGATTGAACTTCACTGGTCACGAATTCTTACTAGAATTCCAGGGGTTACATTTTGAAGCCAGTCACTAGTGAAAACATGATTATTATTATTATTATTATTATTATTATTATTATTATTATTATTATTATTATCAGAATGAGGATTTGTGGAGATTGTAGTAATTTTAATGGTTAAACACATGAATCGATCTAAGCTAGTTACTTTTTATAAAGCATTAGAATCGGATGCAACAAACTGAAATCTCATCACAAAGTTTTAAGAAAAATCAAGTTTAATCTCGGCAAAAAGAGATATTCGTTACTGTTGAATTCTAGAATAGTACAAAACAGCTAGTAAGTTACTCTGCAATATGTATTATTTTAGCGATTAATATCTAACTGCGATAAAGACAATCCACTTTGATAAAATTCAAACCGAAAACTAATCGCACATCAGTAAATTAATATACTTTTTTGACATATATAACGCAAGAAATCCATTGAAAAATTATTGTTACATAATTAGAAATATGAAATATATTTCATATGAACATAGGGTAAAAAATTAATTACCTGGCCACGAAGATATTGTAGCTCGATGAATAGATTCTTTGGCTTCTGATTTACATAAATCTGACAATAATAAACGATTGAATAAACTAGACTTTCCGACATTTGTAGAACCTATCAAATATATTGGACCTTATGAAGAAAAGAATAAAAAATATGCTTTATCTGAACTAATTAATTGGTAAATTTGCAAAGAAAGGTGGAAATAGGATTATGAGGACAAATTGACATCACAGATTGAAACGATATATATATATATATATATATATATATATATATATATATATATCACTGTTGGATGACTATATATAAATTTAATTATATCAGTCTGTTATAGTTAATAATGTGACTGAACAAATGTGCCCTAACCCAAGTTGTTCTACCATATCAGCATGGTGAGATAAAATTTACATGAACAACAAAAATGTTAAAATAACTTTATTACTAACAATAGTACGATACAACGTCATTTCAGATGGTGTCCAGAGGTAAACCTAATGTTAGCAGGATAAGGTTTTGACTGCTTGATACAATGCATTAAGATAAGACTTAACGGTCAGGTTTTAATTGATTAAAGAATGCCTGGCCCATAAACTTATTTCATTCGAACACCTATCACATTTTATCAGGTTTATTTTGTGTTCATATTCCGTATATAACCAGGTTTATTTCGTCGCATGAAAAGCTACTTATCCGGCTAATGACCTTGTCTTTGATTACTAATTTTTCAAGGGTTTAATTCAATTATATGGTCTCGTGAGTAGCCATCACTCGATCACAATATACCAATGCGTTCATTTGTCGATTAGCATTATATTCACTGATTTTAACGATCAAAAATATCATCTGATAGATTCATTAGAAAACACCTACGCTTTAGTGAATATCAGGTTAAAGCACGTAGATTGGTTCATCTTCAACAAATAAGCGCTAGCGGATGGATTGAGAAGATACTAGAGAACTTCTGCATAAATTTTATATAAATCTCCACGTTTTGCCAGATTATCTTTCGCCGTTTGGTGTGTATTTTCGCTCGACTCTAATCCGTATACTGGTTTGGGACTAGTTGAATGAAGTATTGTTTCCAGGGTATATTGTCATAGAAGTTATGACAAAAACTGTATTCAATGTAAAGGACTAGTGTATCTAAGGATTACTCAGATACTGTTTAAATATTTGGTGGAGATCGGTTTATTGTTTACTCTGAATTCAGTGGATAAGCACAATTATCAAAGACCTATCAACAAATATCACTAATATTAATAATAAAAGTAAGTCGTAAATACTGCTCACTTTTACAATGAAAACGTTTAGATAACAGGAAGTCGATTAGTTCTGGTATACCATAACCAGTCAATGCACTAATAATGGAGATGTGATTAATATTCTCTTCTGGTATTTTGCTCCTCGAAATCGCTGCTTCCAACAACGCTGAACACCACCTCTCTATGAAATGCGGTCCATCACCTGGTAACTGGTCAGCCTTGTTACCAACGAGCACATACCTAGGATTGAAAACAGTAATTAGCTAGAACTAACCTTTTGCCCTTTAATTCTGTATGTAATTCCGGAATCAAAGAATGTGGAAGGTTAACCACATCGGCAATAACGATTAAAACCGCATCTTCGTATTTTTGTATTTCCTGGGTTACTTTAGTCAGAAAAGACGACTCATTTATTGTTTCCTAAATTCTATTTAGGATTAATATGCAAAAGTATATACTTTCGACGCTTCAGTGTGTTTTTGAAGTAGATTACAACGTACACAAAGAGTGAGCACAGGTTTTCTGTATTTAGAACGAGAAAGTGACCGCCCCGTACTGGACATAATGCTTTTATATTCGGTCGAGGGTATGAAACCTGGATATCCTGCAGCTTTACTATGTAACGGTGATCCACATCCTGAGCATGTAATAGACAAAAACGGCAATGATGGATCTTCGTCAGAATAAATTTTGTTCAAATCCTCTGGGGCAAGGGTCCTTGTAAAGTCCGTAGTTTGACTCCTGGAACTCTGAACAGGAAGATCATCTGCATTTCTGTCTTCTAAAACTGTTGAGGATTCTGCATTTGGAAAATGCTGATGAGAAACCGATTCCCAGGTTTCGGAAAGTAATGTTTTATAACACTGTTGTTCTTTTGTATTTATTTTGTACGCAAATTTCTTGCCACATAGACGAATAATTTTGGGCACTCCCTTTGATACAAGTGCTAACCGCGACACAAACATAGTTCGTCTAACTTCTGCTGACAGTTGACATAGGCTGAACTGAGGACTAAGTTCAGCTAATCGACAGTAAATAAGGTACTTTTTAAGCAAACGGAAGTCTCATGTCTTACAAACAAAAGGATGATAGTTTTATATAAGAATAATCTTAATTGGATAATTTATACAAAGAAATTAATTTATTGTAAATGGCAATTACAATCAACAAACTTTAAACACAACCCATAGTTCTACTTAATTACAATCGAATAAATTAACTAAATAGGATAAATGGAATATTCTTGTCTCAGGGAATCTTGAACAACACTTTAATATGATAAGTTTGAATATCAAGTAATCTGGAACAAGAAAAAATAAACAATACATTGGTGATAGATAAAGAACTACCGGGGACTAATATGACGTCCTGAAAAACATAAATGATGAAGGCGGTTAGTGAAAAAGCAAACGGCGAAAATAGTACAAATATTAACTTTAATTCTGAATAACGAATATTGCTGAGAAGTAACTCCGTCTTGAAACACAAATGTGAGACTATTCAAATTGTTACGCAATTGGTGAAGATCAACGAACAGATGAGCAAGCATAAATGTATGAACTGATGCAAATGTTTATCAATTAGAGTTATCACATATCAATGGAGTGAGAAGAAACTAACAGATTGCGAAAAAGGTGCAAACAATAAATATGATACTAACGGCAAATCAAAACTAAAAATAAGAATGGTAGTTCAGAAGAAATAAGAGGAAAGCATGGATAACCATAAAGTTCAAAATTAACCAAAGGATAACCCGTATATCTTAGCCACCTGCACTAATTTACATTTTTCACTATTGATAATATTTATGCTTCAAAAAATAACTAAGGAATTTATACACTCCCCGTCCGCAGACCATAGCTTGGATTAATGCATGTTCCAAGCAGAACGATGTTACGACACGCTGATTGACCTGTTTTTAGCCGACCAGAGTTAAAAGGTATATAAATTATAAAATTTACTAAACGTTTTCACAGTATGACTGTCACTTATACTTAACTTCGTTATGTGGAATATAATCTCGTTCCTATTCAACCGTGTTCTGATTTGAAAACTTGTCTAGTGAAGTAGTGTCCGGAGAATATTAAGCAATAACAGTAGCTGATTCGCATAGATATCTTAATATCCTTAAGCGGCTCAACTCAACATTTAATGTCTTCACAGCTTGACGTTTATTTTTGACCAAGATAAATACTATGGCACTAAGATTTAAGAGTTTGAATAATTGTTAGACAAATAGTTCTTGGAATGTAGAGATAAAAATTGAACGGGCATGTATAGTTAATGTCAACTGTAAACTATACGCGTTACAAATCCAGATATGATAAATCCCTAGAATTATAGAACAGCTTGTAATGACTTATTCACAAAAATAAATTATTAAGCTTACTTTTCATGAAGAAATTGCTGAAAACGAGCAGTTAAAAAGTGAGCATACTTCCACATAACAAGTTTCACATTTTCCCCGCTAATTAATGTACATACAAGTAATCCTCACGAAGAATTACCGTGCCTGAAACTACATAACCGTTACATGCTTGGATAAGTCTTAACTTTGATTGTAATACAAATACTCTGCCTTGTTTACTTTGTTCTATTTGGACTTGAGTCAGTTTAACTTGATTTATTTTCTGAAGAACCAACTAGGTTGGAGGACGTCACAAATACAGTGTTTTACTGATTGAAATTTTACAAATGTCATTATTTCTATTACAAACGCACTCTTCGTTAACAATGTTGACTGACTGGATCATTTTGACTCAAATATGACAAAGACTAACTACTGAGAACAAACATGACAATTCCAGACCTTATACGAGATTCAACATGTCTCAACAATCAGGCGGTTGACATATTATGGAACTGCACTATATTACCACGACTAAAGAGAGATAAGTTGAAACTGGCGAAATGAATCGTTCGTTATAAGGCCCCATCACTACATGACAAGCAGTAAATTTGAAAACCAGTCTGTACTATCAGGGACTCCTCTACAGACCTAAGAACAGAATAATTTACCAATAACTAAGACCTAGGCATTGCGAACGTCACTTCTAAGTTCAAAGATTAGTCATAATTTGAATCCGCCAGAATAAAGACAAGAAAATTATGGAATAGGAAAATGCCCTTGAATAAGTAATTTAATGGTAAGGCAAGTCGCACGCTACTTTTAAAGTATCTAATTAGGACACATTGCATTTCAAATGGCTTTCGAGATCTGTTGATTTCTTTTGACTTACTAAGAGTACTACCTAGGGTTTAGGAGCCTTAACGACAAGTCTTAATTGACCAAAATGTCACGTAGTTAATGTTAACTAAATTACTGTTTCATTTGCATTATTTCCCAGTGATGAATCATCAATCACAACTGAATTTGTAAATTTGGGTAGCGTGAGCGTTAGCACTGACATCTGAAACCTATCTTTGTATATTAATAACCAGAAGAGCTTATTCTAATACGTGCATAGTAACATCCATGCGTCATCTTGGCAACTACAGGTTGAGTTTACACTTCTGCAAGTTAGCGAAAAAGGGAACAGTACGACGTATGTCCACTAAATTATTGACATTGGTTGCCCTTGGATAGATACACATATGTGTATCCACACATGCGTATTCCATACATATATATGTATGGAATACGATGAAGTTAGAAATGGAGGCAATGACTGTTGCGGAAAAAATCCCAATTCACACAAAAAACAGCTTAAAATAGATTTACGATTATATAAAAAAGACCCTATGTGAGAGACATATCAATTGAGAGATATATGCCCGATTTTAGGGCTATTTTGAGATTTTCCCTCAAAAAGCATTTTCTTTTTTTTAAAAAAGGACAGTGGTATTTTTCCTCGTTGAGTAAATTTCAATGTTTTGATCGTTTATTACGTATCAAGACTACTGTTTTCACTTTAATTGAATTCATTTCAGTTAAAGTATTCGACTAGAGTACCGTTTTTACCGTTCTCTCAATTAGTTTTTTCGTTGGTACTCTTAAGTACCTCATTTTCAATTGTATCTGTTAGTACTTTTGGTCCTAACAATCTACAGTTCTTCACTTTTTGGTCATTGATTATTTTTTTGTTTCTGAGTATCATCGCATCTCGTTCCTTTTTGAAAAGGACTTTTTCTAAAATGACCGACAGTGTAAAAAAAGCAGTTGCCAACGTCCGGGTTGTCGTTATCCCGTTGAAAGCGGAATGCAGTGCGACGAGTGCAAAAGCTGGTACCACGAAGTTTGCACGAACTTAACGCCTGCGGCTTTCAGACGGTTCAGTAAGAAAGGTTGCGTATGGCTTTGTCAACAGTGCTGTTCGGATGCAAACAGCCTGTTAACCGAGGCCATCTCACTGGTTGATGCTGCAAAGAAGTGTTTTAGCAAGCGTAGTCGGAACACGTCAAACAGCACTCGATCTGTCGACACACAAATCGACATGAGGCAAACTAAGGTTACTTCGATGGTAGATGACTCACGCCGGTCAAAGAAGGAAAAGCAGTCTCCAAAGGGGCCTGCCTTAAACAAAAGATCAAGGAAAGTAGGTTCTTCTGTTCCCCGTCTCCCAGATGGGATCCCACCGGAAACGCCTAGAAGCCGCGATCACAAGGCTCGGTCAGTTTCAAGCGGTAAACATAACCTGACCTCTCAGGTCGTCGACAACCCCCCAGAATCCAACACTAGGTTTGATGCAACTGTTGTTGCTTCTCCCAGCACGGTTGATGAGTGGGTACAGGTTGTAAGGAAGAAAAAAAGTAGCAATATAAAAGGTAATCCTACCCCCGCGAAAGTAGTTGAAAAATCGAAGGCTGATCATAGCGACAGATCAGCTATTTTTCATAGAATCAAGGAGAGCGAGAGCTCTGAACCTGAAGCTCGTTTTGGGCATGACATTGTACTGATTAGGTAGCTGCTTAATCAACTCATGCCTCAAAATATGACCGGGGTCACCTTGCTAAAGGTGTACAGACTAGGGAGTCTAGCGGACTCGAAACCAAATCATTCCAGACTGCTTAAAGTAGTATTCGGCTCTTCGAACGAACGTGACCTAATTTTACAAAATGGACACAAATTAAAGGGTTCAGGAGTCTTTATCCGAAAGGACCTACCGTTGGCAGACCGTGTAAAAAGACAGGAAGCCGAAAAAGAACTACAACTTAGGTTAGACGCTGGCGAAAATGACCTGAAAATTGTAAATTTTCGGGTTGTAAGACTTCGAAAGAGAATGATGCCGAAGCCGCTCTGGGTGAAACACGAAGGCAATTAAACAGGCTTCGGATCTGTTACACCAATGCACGAAGCTTACTTAATAAGCAATCGGAATTAGGTGTACAGATTGACTCTACAAAGCCGGATATAATCGCAGTAACAGAAACCTGGCTGACACAGGCTATAGATAGTATGGAACTTGTTTTCGAGGGTTTTACGTTAGTAAGGGCCGACAGAATACAAAAGCGTAAAGGAGGGGGAGTAGCTCTATTCATTAGGAATGCTATCCCATTTGCCATTATCGACAGTGTATCACATGAGAGTGGGACGTGCGAATTAGTTAGTCTTCGCTTGAAAATGCAAAGGACAAGAGCTGCTGATTGGTTTGGTCTATCGCAGTCCAAGCTGTGAGGCAAATAAGATCCTGTTAAGCAGTCTCAATACTTGGTCCCAAAGTGGTCGATGTCTAATCCTAAGGGACTTCAATGCACCTATGGTAGACTGGGAAAATCTGCGAACTAAATCGTCGGAGAATTCCTTCGAGCAGGAACTAGTTGATGCGATTATCACATGTGCTTTAGTGCAACATGTGAAAGAAGCGACTAGGTACGACCCGGACACTGAATCATCCTTACTAGATCTGATACTCACTCACTATGTGGATGACGTTGCTAACCTTCATTATATGCCACCCCTAGGTAAAAGTGATCACGCAGTTTTAATTTTCGACTTCCATATAACTGTCAGTCACGAGCACGCGTCAGCCCAATCTAGACCTAACGTCTGGAAAGCAAATATACCAGGTATCATGCACTCAGCATCGTTAGTAGATTGGACAATAGACCCAGAGTCCTCAGTTGAAACGGCCTGGGACGCATTTCGAAATTCATACTTAAAAGTTACCACACCCCACATCCCTTGGACTATACCAAGGGGGCCGAGAAACTCCCCACCATGGTTCAGTAATGAGGTCCGTATCCTTCTCCGTAAGAGAAGAAAAATGTGGGATAGATTTAGGTTACTGGGAACTGATGAAACTAAATCCCAGTATAGAAAAGTCCGGAATACCTGTGTCTCGACCCTCCGTAAGTCTAGAAAGTTGTACGAAGAAAATACTGTTAAGGAATCCATAGAATGTCCTAAACGTTTGTATTCTTATATAAACCAAAGGACAAAGAGAAGAGGAAATATTCCTGCTCTATAGGGAGACAGTACTGCCGCGTCGCTAGTGGAGGACGACTTTGGTAAGACTCAAGTGTTCTCAAACTACTTCAGCAATGTATACACCATAGAAGCACCCTTCCCATCAGCGCATACAGACCCCCACACACATACACTGGATAGCGTGACCATTAAAGAACTCGATGTCTTTGGTCTACTAAATAAGCTTGACATAGGTAAATCCACGGGGCCCGATGAATTACATCCTAGGCTACTGAAGGAATTATCTAACTTCGTTGCGAACCCTTTAAGTATATGCTTTAACCTATCCGTAACGCAGGGTCGTTTACCCAAAGACTGGAAAAACGCCATAGTAATTCATGTCTTCAAAACAGGTACGAAACACAAACCTGAGAATTACCGCCCCGTTAGCCTAACTAGTGTGGTTGTTAAAATCTTGAAAAAGATTATTCAAAGGGAGCTGTTTAGGTACCTCGATGAAAACCGGATCCTTTCGGAGAAGCAGCATGGTTTCAGAATATGTTATTCTTGTCTCACTAACTTGTTAGTGGCTCGTGAAAGCTGGTGCGTTCTTAAGGACCAAAAGTTACCTGTAGATGTAGCCTACATCGATTTCAGTAAAGCTTTTGACAAAGTTCTACACAACCGGCTGTTATAGAAGCTAAGAAATGTCGGATTGGAGGCAATCTATTGATTTGGATAAAAGACTTCCTAGTTGGGTGCCAACAAAGAGTACAGGTGAACTCAAAGTTATCTAGCTGGGGAACTATGCTTAATGGAGTGCCCCAGGGTATATTTTTTGGGCCAGTGCTATTCCTCTTGTATGTGAATGACCTTCCTCGTCTCCTATCATCATCGGTCTTGCTATATGCTGACGATGTCAAGATATGGAGAACGATACGATGTGAAGGTGATAGCTTAGAACTTCAAAATGACCTGAAGAAATTATCTGAATGGTCTGAAACCTGACAGTTGCCGATAAATACTTCCAAGTGTGTTGTGATGCATATTGGTCATCAAGGTACAGATACATACACGATGAATAACACTGAGCTACCTGTCGTCCAGACATATAATGACTTAGGAGTCATCGTTAGCCAAGACTTAAAGACTACTGCACACTGCCGTGCAATAGCCGCCAAAGGTTTTAGAACGTTATGGTCAATACGTAGGGCTTTTAGTCATGTCGACGCTAAGACGTTTTTGACTTTATATACAGTGTTCGTACGTCCTAAACTTGAGTACTGCATACAAGCGGCCAGCCCCTGTTTAAAAAAAGACAGTGAGCTTCTGGAAAAGGTTCAGAGAACGGCAACTAAGCTGATTCCCGGAATAGCGAAGCTTCCGTATGAAGCCAGGCTGAACCTTTTCCCGTTGTCATATCGCAGAACTAGTGGCGACTTGATTACAGTTTTCAAATTGCTTAGTGCCGAATTTGCACCTGATATGCCCTCATTTTTCTTGTCTTCCAAAACAGAGAATTTACGAGGACACTCCGGAAAAGTTCACAAGCCAAGAACAAATCACTTGTCAGCTGACTATTGACTTTCCCATCGAATCATAAACAAGTGGCACTCATTACCTCAACACGTGGTTGAGGCTCCATACGTCGATTCTTTCAAAAGAAAGTTGGATCAACTGAGAGACCACCATTGCCAGGACTAACACAGGCCATCAGGCCTCCTGCCCTTCCCAAACTGAAACTGAAATCATGATACGAAAATTCTTGTCTTTCCCAGGTGTTTATGCAAATTTTAGAGTTGTCACATTTTCCCAAAAATCTCTAATGCGTACTCCCCAAAATCAGGGGATTGTGATGATACAAATCACATTTAGACTAACGCGTCAGGAAGAAAAGGGTTACAACATATGTTATTCCTTCTTTAGTGTGCTTTTGTTAGTGTGTGGTCTCTTCTTGAATGAGTCGATTGATGGTGCGGACACCACTGCTTCGGGTAACAGGGCCCAAGTATTAGATCAAGACACCAAGTAGAAAAATATAGTAGTTGAAAGACGATCACAACTAACAACAACTATGTTTTGTCCCTTAATCACATTCACATCACAGGTCGTCGCTCATTAAAATTCTTTTTAATCTGACAAACAAACAATGCTTACATATAACGCAAGCCACAAAACAGCCGCTTTTCACTCAATCCCCAATATCTTTATCAGAAGTTTGTATGATCAACTGATTTCTTTGCCATCGCTTCTCGTTGTTTCGGTACAGTTCCAGGTACTTGACAATATAGAACTGCAGTTGGGTACCGCCAGTGAACTGTCACACAGCTTTGAACGACCTGTTCAAGCTGAATTGTTTCTATATTAATCGATCACTCATGGTATATTGAATAGCTTTTGGGCGTCGTGTAACCAAAAATTCAAACGACTCAAACGGTTTTCAACTCAATAGAAGAATTTGATGGGCCGTCATATCTAGTAGAGGTGGATCACCAATACCTCCAGACAGGAACCTTGGTATATTAACGATAATAGAGGAAAAAGAAATTGGTGAATCATAGTAAGATATTATCCTCAGTCCTTAAGAATATGTCAAGTTGCCTTTTGAAGGACTCCTAGGAAGTCTCTTGGACTAGAGGAGCCAGCAGAGAATTTCAGCAGTTGAATCCCCTTAAGGAGTGGAATTTGTGTCTACAGTCCGTTCTACTGTGTTGTGTCTCTAGTTTCTGGGTGTTACCCCTAAGGTTCGTGTTTGAGCTAAACCTAAGTAAGTGTTTGAAGGGATGTCCAGAAGTGTTAAGGATATTGTAAGCCATAAGTAGATCACCTCTAAGACATCCCTTCAAACACTTACTTAGGTTTAGCTCAAACACTAACCTTAGGGGTAACACCCAGAAACTAGAGACACAACACAGTAGAACGGACTGTAGACACAAATTCCACTCCTTAAGGGGATTCAACTGCTGAAATTCTCTGCTGGCTCCTCTAGTCCAAGAGACTTCCTAGGAGTCCTTCAAAAGGCAACTTGACATATTCTTAAGGACTGAGGATAATATCTTACTATGATTCACCAATTTCTTTTTCCTCTATTATCGTTAATATACCAAGGTTCCTGCCTGGAGGTATTGGTGATCCATCTCTACTAGATACGAGAGCCCGTTAAATGAAGGCTTCTTCTATTACGTCCACAACCGATTGAACCATTTTAATTGCCTTTCGGGTACAACTGGAAGGCGCAAAGTATCAATAATACGCTACCGGGATTACATGTTTTCTTGCACTGACTTAAGTACTACACAGTCGAGTCAGGTTTCTGTGAAACAATATTAAGGTCTTAAAAGCTAACCAAGAATAAATGCACTTATCAACCTCTGAACTTTCTTAATAAAAATGTTAACATATATTATAATTCTTTGATAAAATTGATAAATAACGTAGCTGTGTGTGATGTTAGCGGCTAGATCGTTAGAATCACATTGGTTTCCTTCTTTTAATTTGTACTGATTTCACTGAAGGCCAACTAGTTTATAATGTAGAAGCTTGGAATGCGATTTTTGTCATGTATCAAAGGTTCCTGCTTATAATATTAGTCTTTGGATTCGTCACATATGAGTTAGTTCAGTAATGTCTTTGTACTAAAGTCTTTTTTGAACTAAAATATTCACATTCTATATGTATATGTAGGTGGTATTTCATATTACTGGTTCGTAGGTGAGCCTGAACCGTTAGTTTGACATAACAATATGACAACTATCTCTGTATTGAGGATAGAAGACTGACGGCCTGTGTTTGCTCTTTTCTGGTAAACTTCTGTCACTGTTTAGTCTTCGCTTGAGTAACTTAAACAAATGTTCCAAAAGTTGATGACTTAATGTGGGAACCTGTATGTCATTGGTATTCTGTTAGTACTTTACTTTTGAAATCGCCTAGTATGTTTCTCAAATTGTTGTGATCTGGAAGGATGAAGAAAGCATATTAGGTTCAAAAGCATTTCTGAGTATTTCATATATTGAAAACATCTACTGTAAAACGAAATAAAGAGGTCCCAATTATCAAGCCGTCCCGTTTATAATAAACCTGGAAATTCTGGAATTTCATAGGTACCTGTCCTCTTTACTTTTTCCAGGATTTCCTAGTCACGTTAGAAAAGTGTTTTTGTTTCCACAAAATGTCTTCCGTTTGTACTTCAGTTCATTTGCCTAGGCCTATACTAAAATATCTCTACAAAGACACTTAAACTTAGGGAAATCAAAGAAAAGCTTCCATTTCTTGCATAACATGTATAACCGCGTGAATAACTAGTAAATTTGTGATATGTCTCCTTCCAAATATCTAAATTTGCTATAATGATCTGAGTACTATTTTGGGTAAGATTAGTCGTTGTTAACTAATCACTTAAGTTTTTTCTCAGGATTTCATAACTGCCTATAGAAGCCAGACATTTCTAACCTAAGGAGAAATAATGTGGCACTATTTTCTGTCTTTGAGAATAATGTCCGTTAGTGCCACTTTTATTTGGCGGTTAGGCTTACCTACCATACTGAATGTCAGTGACGTCATCACAGTGGTGTGTAAATACAAGGTTCGGTAGTGACGGTTCGTGTTCCAAGTCAATATGTCGGTTTCGCAATACATTTTATAAATGCACACCGAATAATGGTTGATAGCATGCTGCTATCAGAACATCCATCTGAAGCTGTAAGCTCTATCTATTTGATATGCAGCGCGTTGAAATCTTCAACGCTGAGATAGCAGTCGGCCTTACCCCAAGAACAGATATGACTTAAGACAAATTCGTCAGCAAGACAATGTGTACTACAGTATATTCCTCTTATAGTCATTAACCCGTGTCTAGATTCAATTGTATAACAAGCTACCTCACATACACCTTTATCATGTGCTTCTGATGTGCTCGATTGTACACGAAAGTGATCCAACGTATAATAGTCTTTAGTGCGATTTATAACTCTATCACTTTTAATGCAAATGTATCCCGCAATGCTTGGAGAACAGTCTATATCTACGAAGAGTCACGTTTCTTTGGTAACAATTATATCGGGACCTAATTCATCGAGTTTAGCTCGGGCGTTTTATTTCTGAGACTACGAGCGTTCATGTAGCATACATTTAAGGTGTTTTGAGAATAGCTCGTTCTACCCATACTGGTTTCAAAAGCATTGGCTTCCAAGACCTGGCTACCCAAAAACTCTGGATATTAAGGTTCTTTTTGCCACTTTACTTTCAAGTTTTGAACTCAGTAAGGGCATTCTTCGACGTTATTCAATACTCAAGTAGCCAATCTGGTCGTATTCAAATAACGAGTTTTGTGTGCGTTACTTAACTTCCCTTTTCGAGTAATCACTTCAAGATTCTTCTTGGTTGGGTCTCGCCTCCAACCCACTTACCCAGTCTTATTACTCAAGTAATATGTAATCCCAAAACCTCTTCAGACAGTACATTTCTGATGACAAATTCCGCAAACTCCAAATCGTGTACATGCCTTATAGCACGATCATTTCTTTTTGACTCCTCCAGATTCCGATTAATTAAACTAGGAACGGATTTGTCTTCTTTAAAGTCATGTTCACAACTTTCGATTGTGTTGCCATTTCCTGTTGTTAACTACTAGGAACTTTTCTTTAGTTGTTCTTCGGTTAGAGTCATTTGATTTGAGCGAATTACTCGCAATATTCGATGAGATCACACTTTTTCCAACAACGCTAGGGCTAAGTATTATCTTACTTTGGGACTTTAACGGATTATTTTGTGACTCAGTGTGAGTCTACCAAAGACTTATCAACCAAACAAGTGCTGTTTGTGATTATGTTTCTTTCTCTTCTGTGTTTTCGTACTAGCCCCCATTTCCTGTCAGCCAGGACTACTTATGACGGTGAGAGTTTTATCTGGGTTATCAGGTACTACTGTAGAATCGTGACCACCAATATCCATTGGCATTTCACTCTTTATTTAAAAAGAGATTTCCACTTTGCGTGTTTCTCAGTCGCGTGTTTGACTCGTCCCATAACATTATTTACTACACTAATACATTCGCTGACAGTACTCACGTTACCGGTCCAGCCCTCATAAACTTTCTTGCTGGCTAATTCCAGAAGGCTACTTGCCTCTTGGATCGGTAACGTCTTACTTTAAAAACAAAACATACAAGGCCTACGGGAGTTTGGCTTCGAGCATCTTTTGCATGCGATAGGATTTAAACGTGTACTCATCTTGTGGAACCACTTTTTGCACTCGTCACATAGCATTCCTTCCCCCACAAGGAAGAAACAATCTGACTGTCCACATTTTGATTAATAACAAAGACTTCCGTGTCCTCCCATACTTTGGTGCTTTACGGTATCATCTTTTCTGGTAATAGCTTTATTTCCTGCATGAGACCAGTGTTAAACACTAGTTTACGAAACGTGTTCCATCATCTCATAAATCCTGTCTTCAAATTGAGTTGGAATTTTAAATATTTAAGTCTTGTTTCCAACCGAATAGCTGGTCTCACATCATCTAGAAATATAATAAGAAACGATATGACTATATAACAAAGTACTCAGTGGGAAATAAAACAACGGTAGTGCTTATTAAACGATGTAGTTTAAGTACTAGTATGATCAAGAAATATCTTGTTCTGTTAGAAAAGGAATTCGATTGTCTCCGAAGATAGTACAAAACTCTGATAGAATTGAAAATGATTTATATCCTGGACTCCGCTTTGTAACGTCTCATACCAGAGCTGTCCAAATTATAATTTTAAGAGCCCCGCTCATAATATAACAAAATCACTCGAAGTCCCGCGATAGTTGTTTGGAGTGTGTAGCCTACCTTACCAGTATCATATGAATCTAAGCCTTTTAATTGAATGGAGACGAATTTCCAAGGACATATGTAGGTTAGTTACTGAGAAGTCATGTATAGCTTTGGTAAAATATTGTTTATCACTCCCGATTTCCAAATAGTCATCATCCTCTAATTGCGAACAAGATCCAGAAAACAAAGTAAACCAAATGTATCTTCTAATAATTCCTTGTTAAACCAAGTGATGCAAGGTTTTAATCGATTTCATAAACTCGTTATGACGCAACACGTTTCAAATGAAGCATTCATTTACCTTTCAGAAGTTCAACCTTGTCGTTGACGAAATACTTAGATATTTTTCATTTAATTCACTTAATGAGGATGGTAAAAGCAAACAGCGGACATAATTTCGAACTTCTTCAAGAGAAGGTATGGTGGCTTTTTTTAGTTAAATGCACACTAAACAGCTTGATAAACAGACGGATGCATTGGAACGTAAAATGTTAGATGTAAAGCCGTGGT